CCTTCAAAATTTTAATTACCTCGATTGTATCCCTACTTTAATCTTTACTTTCCTTTATAATTATTTTATTTTTTCTTTTTAGATGTTTTTCTTCAAGCTTTTTTGTTGTTGTTGTTTTTTGCTCCTCCGTTATTATTAGTTTTTTAGCTTGTTTTGGTTCAAAATTCTTTTTGCTTAATTTTCTTCTAACTTTTGAAACCTCTTTTTTGTTTGTTCTTTTTCTAATTTCCTTCTGCTCTTTTTTTTCTTTCGGCTTTTCAACTTTTATTTTTATTTTTTTAACTACTCTAAAAAATTAAGGACAAAACAATGTATTTTAAACTATGTAAATTTATCAAGAAATCTAAAAATCAAGAAAAATATGCAACATGCAATTTTTGAAAATTTATGGAGTTTTTGTGTAAGTAATTTTCTTGAATTTTTGACATATATTTGCACATTTTGTTCCTTAAAATGAAATTGTTTGCTTTATATTAAGAATTTACTTCCACTTTTAATAGATTTTCATTACTTTCTTACCAAAAAAACTAAACCAGATACCACAATCCATAGATTTTTAATGTTTTACTTCCTGCAATCAAATTTCTATTGGATTTAGAAATAATAAAAATTTCACAAAATCTTAAATTTTGTGGTCATAGATTTTCAATACTTCACTTACTCCAATAACAATTAATTTTTGGATTTCTTTGAAGAAAGTGAAGGAAACAAAAATCTATGGGCTGGAAAATTTATGGATTTTGGTTTGGTACTGCTTTTATTTTTGTGATTAGCATTTTTTTCTTTTCTGGTGATGAAGTTTTTTTATTTTTTTAATTTTTTTTAACGCATCCTATCTCAAACTATCGCCAAATCTTAAAATATCTCTAATACCATAATTTCGCTCTATCACTAAATGATCATTAAAGCTATTAAGTGCTTTCTATATATATGCCCACAATATACGATTTTCTTGAGTTTTTTGGATATATTTTTTAAATAATTATAGATTTAGCAATCTTGATTACTACCAAAGCCCATAGAAATCTTATTATAGTAAGTGAAGTGACGAAAATCTGTAGATTGTGGTTTCTGGTAATGGTTAGCTTTCTTTGGCAAGTAGGTAATGGAATTCTATAGGTGTGCACGTCAATCTCTTCCTATAAATTGCATCATTTTATTTCATGTAACAATCCACACATTATGTAACTCACATACTCATACATAAATGAAATGTGCGTAATGAAGCTTGAAAGTCTGTAGATGATTGTATCCGGTAATCATTTAATTCTTGTCTTATTGGTTTTTTTTTTTACCTTGTTTTTTAAATTATTGGCTAAATGGGTATATTGGATAAATTTGTATTGAAAGTTTTTTAACAATTTATAGGGTGAAATTTTTATGTTATTTGTGTTTGGTACTATCAATTCTATTTAATTAATAAAACATTAGAAATCTCTATTTGTTTTTCGATTTATTTGACTAAAATTTTCTACATTTAAGATTACCGTGTACGAGCTAATTTATTTTCTTACAATCTTGTTGATTTGAAAAGGATTCGAAGGATTAGTAGCAATGACGATCGAGAATGAATATCTTTTTTCTGAAGATATGATGATTGAAATTCTATCATGGTTGCCAGTGAGAACTCTACTACAATTCAAATGTGTTTCCAAGTCATGGTACACTATTATTACAAGTTTCAATTTCATTTCAAAGCATCTGAACAACTACTACAACATGAGTAATAGGGGTTTTCTCCTTTTTGGATATTCTATATACCCAGACAATCATGATTTGCTTGAATTGTTTTTAGATGAATCACTTGCAGATTTATCACATCAGGCACTTGATTTACCAATTCCTAAAGTAAGTCTTTGTGGTCCCTGCAATGGAATATTTTATCTAGATTCCATTTACTTTGGAGATTCTGCTCTATGGAATCCTGCAACGAAAGAATTGAAGATTCTACCAAAGAAAATAACTTTGCCGAATCTTTCGTCCTATGATTATTTCAATAATTATGGATTTGGATTGGATCTAGCAACTAATGATTTCAAAGTGGTGGTAATTCAAGAACATATGATTGAAACATGTATGAATCGGTATCGTCCTTTTCCTGTCATTGTGTACACATCAAGTACTGATTGTTGGAGATATTGGGGGGATCTAGAGGAAGACTATATTCTATCAGTTTCATATCATACATACTTGAATGGAGTTTATTATTGGTGGGGATGTTATGGGCCCTGTCATGAAAATAATGTGATTCTTTCCTTCGACATGACCAGAGATGAGTTCCAAAAGGTACAAGCACCGAATTACGATAAGCCAGCTTTTGAAACGCTTTCATTATATCGTGACTTGATTGCTCTATTTACTCTACATGATATTGAGAAGCTTCTTGATGTATGGACATTGGATGGGGATTGTTGGACCAAAACAATCACTATTGGACCTTTTTTAGGAATTCGAAATCCAGTTTCATATTGGAAGAATGATATGGTTTTTTTAGAATCTGACACTAATCAATTACTCTTATGCGATTTGAATACCCAAGAACTAAATTGTGTATTTCAGGGCACAGAAGCTTGTCAGAAAATATTTGTTTACAAGGATAGTCTTGGTTCAATCACTGATAGAACTGGGCATAAACAACTTGAGGAGTTAAGCTAAAACAGAAGACAAAGGTTGAAGTCATTCATAATTAACTTGAACTCATCAATTTTATTCTGAATACCATAAGTTTATTTTCATTACCAAAGAGCTAAGATTGTTCTTTTGTATCCTATTTTCAACAGATCATTTAATAATAATAATAATAAGTTATTTTAGTAATGTTTTATGTCTTACATGCATTATGCATTATGTTCTCACATCAATCCTTAATCTCCTTTTAGAATGAATGATATATATATATATATATATACTTTTTTATTATTTTTTTTCATATTTTTCTCTTTTTTATTTTTTCTATGCTACTAATTTGATCTTCTTGTAGATTTGGCTTTAAATTTTATATTAGGCTTTAGGCCCAATCTTATTATTTTAAATTACCATGGAAGGTGGATATGGGCTCGATGCTCATTCTTATACTTTTGGATTTTTTCTAATCGAGTAGAAATCTCATTATGAGGATATACTAAAATGATTGTAATCGTTTTTAATTATATAATCAACCATTTTCGTCAAAACTCTTAAAACTAGTTCGTTAGATTTTTCTTAGTTTTAGCTTTAAAAAAATTGAATGACGACTCTCCTTTCAAGCATGCACATGGCACAAACTAAGAGTATTGCCCTTGTCTCCTCTCTCTCTCTCTCTCTCTCTCTCTCTCTCTCTCTCTCTCTCATATATATATATATATATATATATATAATCAAGATTCTCATCCAAACGAAGGATGATGTTACCTTAATTATTGAAACTAATTTAAATAGTCCTTTGATCGACACTAACTATCTTAAACTGATGATTTTGTTTTTCTAATCAAAATTTCTCATCTCACCACTCCTCTCTTCTTTATTCAAATCTTTTTTAAAGTTTGAAAAGAAAAATAAATTAAAAAAGAACTTAGAATTTCTGGAAGTACTAAATTACAAACATATTTAAAACACATATGGATTAAATATATAGTTTATAAAAATATAAGGATAATTAATTAATTTCATCGAATTACATTGGATGGATGTTTGTACGAAAGGCAAATGGCGGTTAAGTCTAGCCCATGTCTCTGGATTGCAAAACTTTTAGGTTTACTATAAATCTTTTAGTTCCTAATTTTCTTTTCTTTTCTTCTACGACCCATGAATCAGTATTCATGATTAAATCACAAAGACAAACACCATTGCCAAACATAAAAAACAATCAAATTCCCTAAATTTCAATTTTATTTTGTACCTAAAACAATTGAATGAATCACCATTCTCTGTCAACTTTTGTGCATATTCTAGTTTTTTTCCAGTTTTTTATATCCGTGAGAAACAGATCCTTGTAATGCCTCCGAGAATGAACAATTTTTTGTATAAAGCCTAAGCTTTGTTTGATTGCAAAGCATGGAATGGAACTACTGGCTTTAAATCTTTAAAGATAAGATGGACACAGATAAATTCGACGAGCAAAAGAATCAATTTCAATTCGCTACTTGCAAATTTATACTAGCATGCAATGCAGAAAAGCTACACAGAAGTTTCTTTCATTTGAGATAATTTCATGGTAGAATCAGGCAATTGTAGGCTGCAAATTCAACCTATTTCTCTGTATCATATTGGACAGTCCTGTGATAGAGGTATCCAAAAGATTTAGATACATATTTGAGTTGGAATATCACTTTTAGAGAAGTCTAGCATGCTGTCGTTTCTAAAATTCATAAACTGTGACGTCTTAATCGATTCAATTTTCCCCTTAATGTAGATTGCAGGTTCATGCACGAAGCTTCTCAACCGAGACAAACTTGATATATTTAAAATTTAACCATTTATATATTCAGTATATATAGCAGAAACATACTTGATGATATAGCAGAAACAAACTTGATGTTATTCATAATTAACTTTTTGTTTCTCTTTCTAAAGAGAATAAAGCTAACCAATTATAGATTCAACGGCAGAAACAAACTTGATGGTGCCATATCCACAATTATTGCTCTTTTGTACTTCTTTTTTGGACAAGGTATGACCTTTGTTGCTTGTGCATCAATGCGGAGGTAAATCTCTTTGAGCAGAAAGTCACCATTTTGATTTTTTAAGCACCTTAAACAAATATCACTTGTGCCCACTTTTGCTTTGATTGCTTTTTCAAAATCTGCCCGTTTGTAATGTTGACCAGGCATTATGTTTGCATCCTTTAAAGCTTGGAAGATGCTAGTGTGCTGCTTCAAATTGATCGCAGCCCAGAAATAATCTTTGGCCATCTTCGATTGACAATTTCCATGTTTGTTATATTTATAAGACCAAAAACCCCTTTGCGACTTTATATCGCTAATTATGCCAGTGAGACTAGGCCAGTGATCCAGCAAATTATCCTACAACGTTTTGTCATTGAACTGCAAATGCAAAAGAAGGATGCGTCAAAATTAAGTAAATCCCTAAATGAAAAGACAAAATAGTAATAACATAAGTAAGGTACCACAGGAGTAAGATCCTGGGCCTTCTGACAAGAAAGGATAAAGTTCCCAGCACTGTCCACTGGCCATATGCCGTGTATAGTCATGTCCTGGGGCAATGGATTCATTTTACACAACCCCCTCTGCGTACCAGAGCAGTAGCCGAATGGCCACGTAAGTACTAGGTACATATGGTGAACTGTACGAACTGCCGGAGGTGGTGGTGGTGGAGGACTTTTTGTGCACCGGAGGAGGAGCTATAGCAAATACCAATATATCATATATCCAGATTCTTATATATCAACTATGAAGACATTCATTTTACATCTTATTGTCTTTTCTACCCTTTAGAAAAGACAATAAGATGTAAAATGAATGTCTTCATAGTTGATATATAAGAATCTGGATATATGATGTATTGGTATTGAGCAAAGAATGCCATTACATATGAACTCTATTTATAAGCCAGAATGCCCCTAGTTAATGTTGAATTTCCTTGCATCGACTCCATTAATATTCAACCTAGCCAGCCAACTAGCTTTACTCCTTAATTTGGGTGAGATTCTTTGGTGGTTAGGGGATGATCATGACACATTCGCCCACAATGGGAGTATAATCAACCAGGTCTAATCTAGATTTAGAGAACCTCAAGGAAAACAACAATTGCACGGCAGGCAGTTTTGCTTTTTGGAGATGAAAGGCTGCCTCCAATGGCTCACTGACGTTCTCAGGCATTACTCATAATCGTATAGTGCAGCTAATCCTATAAATTAATAGAATGTGCTAATTATCTTTCATTTGTATATAGGTGTTTGCAAGTTTTTTCTTTCCGATTAAGGGGATAATGTTTTTGTTTTTCTTTTCTTTTTCGATATCGTAATTTTTAGCAATTTGGGATTTCATAATCATGATCCCCCAAAAAAATATTTGTTAATAAAATATACTCTAGCTAAAATGAAGGCTTTGTTGGCCTTTCCGGCTGTTTCATTCAGGGACAAATTAACTATCCAAAAGGCTTCTTTTAGTCACCACAAGTTGCAATTGGGAACTATAAAGAGGACTTGTTAATTATTTTGTTTTTTGCTTTTTACAATCCCCTTTATATATAATATCAAAACTGAGTGTTTAAAAAACTACTAATTGAATCATTCACATATATATATATAACAAGGACATACTTTAACATACCAAATTCAAACATTTTGTTTTAGAAATGTAATTTTTCTCAAGTGAGTTGGCAAAGAATCATTCAAATTGGGATGACGTGTAAATGGAGAATTGCCAATTGATCACAGGTTGAATATTCTCAAAACCTATGACATCTCATACACTTCATGTCTTGATAGCGCTTCCCTAAAGATTAGAAAAATGGGCAAACAAAAAAAGCATGGAGTTTTAGATATTTTCTTAGTTCTGCTAAAAGTAAAAATGACAAACTAAAAAGAATTATTGAAACCTATATATCATCGTAAATCATGAACTGAACTTATAGGTAAGTAAGAAGTAAGAATTTTGGCAAGCCTTTTTCGTTGTTAAAAGAGCAAAACCAAGATAGGTCAGTTTATTAAATTACCAATATGGTATCCCATGCGTCTAAAATGAGAGAAATTTGAGAACCTATTCAATTCGACTAGTATTGGATAACTTGGGTGTTCTCTTGAACCCAAGAAAAACAACAAAGTAAGAGATAAAAAGAGGTCCATTTCAATTTTATGACCTTATCATATTGATTAATGAGATGCAATGAGGTGCTATTTGGTAATCGGGAATAAAATGACGGGAATGAAAATATAGGAATCGGAATGAAAATTAAGGAATCGAAATGGTATTTGTATTCCAATACCGTGTTTGGAATACTAATAAGGAATCGGAATGCAATTTAAATTTTTTAATATCTGATTTTGTATACAAATATAAATAATGATTAAAAATAATTTTATTAAACTATAATAGTTATAAAAATAATAAAGGTGATGGTAGTGATTGTGGTGGTAGTGGTGGTGGCGATGGCGACGGTAATGATTGCGATAGTGATGGTGGTTGTGATTGTGATAATGATGGTTGTGGTGGTGGTGATTGTGATGATGTTAGTAGTAGTGATGGTGGTGGTGGTGGTGGTGGTTATGATGGTGGTTGCGGTGATGGTGATGGTGGTGGTGGTGGTTATGATAGTGGTTGCGTGATGGTGGTGGTTGTTGTGATTGTGATGGTAGTGGTGGTGGTAGTTATGGTGGTGGTAATGGTGGCAAAAGTAGTTAATAGATAATAAATAAATAAAATATATTATTATTTTGAAAAAAAATTCATTCTCATTTCTTGTTTTTTATTCCCACATCTTATATGAGAATGAAGTTGTGTGTAAATTTTCATTCTCATTCCCGCTCTTCATTCCCATTTCCAGTTCATTCCTTTTAACCAAACAGACTATAATGTGGGAATAAAACTTCCATTCCTATTCCTACCACTCTATTCTTGATTACCAAACAACGACTTGAGAGTAAACGAGTGATAACTTAAAATATTTTTCATTGAATATAAATTAGGGAAAAATTGATGCCACCCATACATACTAGCTTGAAAGATGGTATGTTTTACATAAAAGAAATTTTTTATTTTAGCTCTTCCCAACAAGGTTGTTTTAATTACGAAATACGTTGTTAGTATGATGAAAATAATGTGATTCTTTCTTTTGACATGACCATAAATGAGTTTCAAGAGGCATAGACATCGGATTATGATAAATTGAATTTTAAAATGCTTTTATTATATTGTGACTTGATTCTCTCTGTTTTCTCTACAAGATATTGAGAAGTTTCTTAATATATGGATATTGGATGGGGTTTGTGGGACGAAAACAATCAATGTTGAGCTTTTTTTAGTAATTCGGTATCCAAATGGATATTTGGATATTGGGAAAATGATATAATTTTTTTAGAATCTAGCACTAACCAATTATTCTTATATGATTTGAATACTCAAGAACCAATTATGTATCCCAAGGTACAAAAAATGGCTAGGGAGTATTTGTTTACAAAGATAGTCTCGGTTTCAATTATATATACATACAATCGAGTACAAACAATTTGAAAAATTAAGCTAAAACAGAAAACTAAGTTTGAAGTCATTCACGATTAACTAAAATTCATCAATTTTATTTTGGATATCATAAGTTTATTATCATTGCCAAAATGTTGAGATTGTTCTCTTGTATTCTATTTTCAACATATCATTCAATGAAAAAAAAATCTTATCTAAATCATGTCCTACAACCATTATGTGTTATGTTCTCCCGTCCATCCTTGACCTCTTTTTAAAAAGAATGATTATTTTTTTTATTTTCATTGTTTCTATATTTTGGTCTTGTTTGTTAGTGGAAAAGTGTTCCTATGAAATGTATAAAAGATACCTAATCGAGAAAGTTAATAATTTGAGGACCATATTAAGTATTGGTTCATAATTAGAGGGGACCAAGCAGGTTGGCCTACCGCAAATTTACTCTACAAAGAACACACCCTTCCCCACCAAGACCAACACTCTTTGCATGTTTATTTTTTCACTTAAAAATGTCCCGCAATTTCCATCTTTTACCAACAAAAACGAACCACATCATAAAAATCCCAACTTTATTTATCATCCACAACAAACCCTATTTAAAAAACAAAGAGTTTATCTTATATTTGGTCCTTATATTGTTTAATTTTTTTTATTGAGATTTTTTTACGTTTTTTCAACTTAATTAAAACCTTCTATCCTCTAAAACTTATTAATTCAAACTCTCTCGTTAACCATTTATCCGATGCAACTTGTTATCATTAATAGCCACCGATCATTAATTGAGACGTGTCATTATGGGTCTCAAATAACGATAGAATTAAAAAATAAAAACAAAAACTTTTTTTAATAATAAATTAATATTTAAAATGAAAAAAAAATTATTAAAAAAGACAAATTCACCCTAGCCACATTGTTTCAAAATCTTCATTTTCATTCTCTATTTTCCTTTCTTGAATATCTTTAATTTGAATTTAAACAAGAAGAGAAATAAAAATCAAATAAGATTTTGGATTTAAGAGGAAACACGAGTGCTTAAGAACAAATCCAAAACCCATCCTATGTTATCTCGCATTCAAGTTTAAAAACAAACAAGTCTGAAATTTTAAAAAAAAAACAACCAAAAATTCTAAAAATACCCACAAAAACATTAGTAAAACAACATGTCGGAATGTTTGGCTTCTCTTTTGCTCGTCGTAGATTTTGGCCACAAGCAAGGAGGAAATAGGTAGCTATCAATTCAGAGCACCCTGGCGAGTCATTGTCTAGTCATTGGGTGGTTTCATTTTCTCTAGAACGAGCAATATTAGACCCGTGTCTTCAAAAATAGATCGAATTGATTTCTTGTTTGATATGATCGATTCTGGTGAGATTTCATTGGATTTTAAGAAGAATCAATTGTTCAAAGGATGACGAATGTTTCCCAGTGGTCGAAGCCATCATCCCGATAAAAAATGAAAGATTATGTCGGGCTTGTCTTCGGTTCTAGTGCCATGGTCTAATTGTTTTTTATATTTCGCATTTGCTCGAGATGTTTTCTTTTCATCCCGTTATTTTCCCTCTCATTTTTTATCTTTGTTTTGGTTTCTTGCGATGAGGGTCCTGTTGATCGTGTCCTCTACAATAATTGATTACTTGCAGAGATTGACTTGAGGTCTGGATGTGTCCGTCTTTTTTAATTCCTCGTGCCTTAATTTTCTTGACTAGTTATTTATGGCTTTCTAGGTTGCTTTATATTAGCCATTGTATTTGTTATAGATAAACTATAATTAATAAATTGATGAACATTCGGTTGTTATCACTTTATGTTTGCATATGATTCTTAATGATCTAATAGTAAATATTTTCACATACATGGTACCATAATATTTCTCTTCACTTCTATCGTTATTGGTTTATGTTGCTATTGATGATAATGTCGTGGAGGGGTTTAGGTCTTTTCACATTTGTTATTTTTATTTTTATATTAATTTATTATTAAAATGAGTTTGTAATTTTTTTAATTTAGAGAGAAATATTATCTTTTGAGACCCATTTCACCACATGTCATTTAGTGATTAGTTACCGTTAACGATAACGTGCCACGTTAGATGAATAGTTGACGGTGTCATAACGGAAGGTCCGAATCAACAAATTTCAAAGGGTAAAGGGTTTCAATTAATCTAAAAATATGTAGAGAGTCTCAATCAAAAAATTTGAATAATAGAACGACCAAATATAGGGTAAATCTAAAAAACAAACGTCTCTCTTATCTCCAAACTCTATCTATAAAGTGGATATGCTTTTTGGATGATCAAACAATGTTATTTAACAAAGATTAACTTATAAAATTTAACCACAACTAGTGGTTTAATGGTAGAATTTTTAGATTTTTAACAAAAGTTTCGAGGTTTAAATATCACTTTTGATGTCTTCTTATGACCACCACAAAATCTGTTTTTTCGATTCTTAAACTCGTAAAGAACTTGAAATCTCCAGATTTAGGACTAGTCAATTCTCACCTAAAATGGTAAAAGAAAATCACATTTTTTCAATTCATAAAATAAATAAATAATATATTTAATTGCGATGCTTTTCTCATCTAAAAAAAGAATGTGACAAAAGAGGGAAAGAGAAGGAATTTTTTTTTTAATAAAAAATGTCAAGCTTAAATCTCACTTTTAATACCTTCTTGTGATTACCAT